TTTCTTTCTTTCTTTCTTTCTTTCTTTCTTTCTTTCTTTCTTTCTTTCTTTGTCTGTGCTCTACAGAATATTATATTCACTTGGTTTAAAGAAATGATTATCAGCAAATGATTTATAAATTGTAAAGTATAATACATAAGAATTACAAATTTCTTAATTCAGTATAATGACATTTCTAAATGCCGTCTTAATTTTTCTTAAAGCTTGTTCTTAGGGTGGGGTGGACGAACAAGGTGACATTAAGTTATCATAACATCGTGCAACTGCTTGACAGCAGTCAACGATCATCTTTGATAGGAAATTGCTGATTCTATCTATTCGTAAGTGATTTAGAAATATGTTTTTTCCTTAAAGCGATGACGGTTTTCAACATAAAACCAGTTTTAATTTATTATTTGAGGATATTTACTGCATTAAGTTAACTTTAAGTTCAACTCCAATACTCTAGCCATAATGAAAACATTCCTTTTTTTTTTTCGGCCTACTTGCTTTTTATTCTTATTTCTTGATATTTTTGTCTTAAAATTTTCGCCTTTACTTCATACATCGTAAAAGTACCTAAAACCAATATTAACGTTCTTTTTTAAATTTTCTTTTTTTTTTTTTTTTCCCCTTTAGTAGTGTAAAGTATCTCTCCCCTGCATAACATAAAGAATGCTATTACGTCTTCACGCCCGAGATAGATGAATATGAATAAGATAGTAAGCAATTCCTTCAGAACATAACAAATTTAGTATGTACTAACCTTGTTCACATTGAGGTGGTAGTAACGAATGAAATAGAAGCGTTGATTCCTGCTAGCTTGCGCTACAAAACGAAGAGCTTCAGCTAAGTCTTTAGGCTGTTATCTTACTCAAAAATCATTTCGCTTCCACGATATATATATATTGCATTGATGCCCCTCTAGGCTTTCCAGCCATTCATTATAACTTGTTATTGAACCAACCGAGGTTGGACACTAAAGAAAAATCGACGATTTGTCAGACTATAGATTTAAGCAATTACTAACCTAAAAGACGAAATACTCGTTATGTATCTTTAATTAAAAACACAGGAAAGGCTTCTTTCAGAAAATAATACAATTGGAAACATTTGACAGTATTTTCCGCTAAAAACTGACAATTTCGAGCCTGAAATTTAGAAAACTTCATTTCCGGATCGTGAAGAGATGAGTGTTTTTAATCCCTCATCATCGATAAATACTTCCTAAGAAGTGCTTTAGGATAGGATAAATAACGTTCCCTAAATTTACACTACCGTAATTAATATTAAGAAAGAAAGAAATAAAAACCTCTTACTAAGATTTAGAGTGGGGTTTCAAAGCCTTTGTCAAACAGCAACGACTATTTGGAGTTTAAATAACAGGTTGAACATTTGGTTTTATAATTATTCAGCGGTAAGATTAAGATTGTGGTACTTTTTTCTTCAAAATATATGGGACGTTCATTCCTTTAGTGCTAAAAGACGATGTTTAAAATTGAAAGGGATTCTAGGAAAATGTGCGGAAATATTTTCATCTAGAGTGAACTGACTTCCTAAGATACATTCCATAACACTATTTGACCAATATGAAAATACAAAGAAAGAAAAAAAGCACGATTTTAACTTCATTGCTTTTCATTTGCTTTTTCATTCTTAATACGCAAAGTACAGGTGTTATATTATATTAATTAAATATTTATTAGCTTATTCACATTTATCAATTTCACATCCTTATTTTTTTGTCATTTCAATAAGCATCCTCTCTTTGATCATTTGTATGAACTTCCAATACATCCAGTTAATAAATTCAAAGTTTTAATTAGAAAAAGTAGATACTTGGTTCAATGGATTAACGAAACTCATTACAAGGAAAAAACCTCAAAAGATTGATTTGAAGTAGTGATAATGAGTATGAGGAGTAAGTGTGGAATTGATCAAGTGAAATGATAAAGCAATTGGATTCTATTTATAGCGTCAGTAATCAATATGAGTTAGGAAAATGAAGGAACTGATAGCAATGATGATGATCGTTTTCTTTCTGTTGCATAACACCGAAAGATTGTTTGATTTGATGCTATCCATCCATCCATCCATCTATCCATCCATCCATCCATCCATCCATCCATCCAT